GGGAGGGGAAGGGGCCTCGGGCTCCGAGCCCAGCGCAGGGGGAGGGAGACGAGCTGGCGCCTGGCTGGGTGCAGGAGAGGGTGCCACGTGCCGGAGCTGGGGCACAGGATCACCGGGCGGCGGGACATCTTTGGCCCCGAGCAGCCGGGGAGCGAGCCCAGCGCGGGTGGGATTCGGGGCGGTGCCGCTTGTGCTGGGAGAGGCCCGGGCGGCCACCCCCTCTGCTCCCAGCAGGATTAAGGCAGCATGGAAACAGGGGAGCTGCCTTGACCCCGGAGGCCCCCGCCTGCCCCAGCGAGACGCCAGCAGGAGCTTACGGGGGCACGGGTGGGGGGCCAACAGCTGCATGCTAATCGCTCCCCGCCGAGCCGGAGGCTGCTCTGGGCAGACGCGGGGCATCGTGCCCGCCTGTTGCCCCAGCGACTGCGGCCTTCCCGGTGCAGGTGGCATGCCCATTGGTTGCCGCAGCGACGCGGTGGCTCGGGGAGTGGGGATGGTGCCCATTGGCTTGCCTGCGTGGCGGATGGGTCCTCACGCCGCCACGGTGCAGCTAGTTTCCGTGGCAACAGCGGTTGTCGAGGCAAACAAGGGGCCCGGTGCCCCGGCTGCACACAGCCGTTGTGCCCGGGGCGGTGGGGGAGCCGTGTCTCTGCTGGCGATGCGTCCCCACGGGGCGACCTTGATGCCCCCCGCTGTCTCCCACACTGGCACGGTGGGCACTGGCACCCTTACAGCAGCAAGGCAAGCTGCAGCCTTTGCTCCGGAGCTGGGTCCGGCCCCCCGGGTGCAGGCAGAGAGCGCTAGGTACAGGCTGCATTGCATAGCAAAGTCAGGGGGGCATGGCCGGGGTGCCCCCGCGTGCTCCGGGACGGGCAGCTGCTCCGAGCCCGGGTCAGGAGACCTGGTCCTGTCCAGGCAAAAGTCAAGGCCCGTGGGGAAGAACAGCCCCGCGGAGGGCAGGGGGTGAGGCAGCCCCCTCCCGCCGGCAGTGCCATCTCGCGGGCCTGGAAGCAGGGCTAATTGCTATGCAGATCTATTCCGCGTTATTTAATTACCATGCTAATTAGTGTCTCACGCGTGGCATCGCCTCTTGTTAGAGGCAGCGAGTGAGGGGGACCGGGGGCGCGTGGCAGGGGAGGCGCCAGGCCCTGGTGTTTGCAGCCGGGCATCGGCTCGGGGCAGGTGCAGCAGCGTCAGGCCCAGCTGGTGCTCGGAGCAAGCGAAGGGGGGCTGGCAGCTGGCTCTGGTGATTCCCACACCTGGTGCCCAGTGGGGCAGTGCCCAGCTTCCCAATGGGTGGGGGTAGCAGCGGCCCACAGCCCCCCAGCCTGCAGGAGGGTCACAGACCCCAGCGGGGCCTGGTCCTGGGAGCTCAGGGGCAGACACGCTCCGGCCCTGCTCCTCGTGGCACCCGAGCCAAGCAGGGCGGCATGGGGGCAGGCTGCCTCCACGCTCCGTCTGGAAGCCACGGGCAGCGAGCGAGCCAGCCTAGGCCCCACGCCGCCTTGTTTACAGAGTCCCGGGCACCCCAGGGCCCACCCAGACCTTCCCTTTTGGTGCTAAGGAGCACTAATGAGCTCCCAGAGGTGCTTTGCTGCTGGAGCCAGGGGTGGGACAGACAGTGTGACTCACCACCGCAGGTGAACTGGCGGCCATCGGGATCCAGGCGTCCTGCCCTCACCTGGGACCTGCCTCCGGTCCTCTGCTTTGGCGTCTCACGGGATCTCCCCAAAAACAGCAGCCACCCTGGGCCGAACCCCTGGGCACCGCCGAGGCACCTCCAGCTGCGTCGCCCAGCCCTACCAGTTGCATCCCAGAGCAGGGAGCACCCCGGCGTGGTGGCAGCCAGAGGCGGGGACACTGGGGTGTATCCACAGCCTGGGCACCAAGGGGTTAAACACGCCTGGGACCCAGCGGGATGCCCCGCGCCAGCCCCTCAAGCCCACGTGTGGTAATGCGGCCTGGCAGCCCGAGCGCGGTGGCTGCACTTCGCTGCCACGACCAGGGACGAAGCTTCCTGTGGCAGCTGCTGGGAGCCTCCATCTGTCGCCGGGCCTCGTGTCCCCGCGCTGCTAATTGCCCGGGGCGCCCGGGGAGTGGGCACCCCGTGCAGCGCAGCAACCCCTGAGCTGGACGGTGGACACCTCCCGCGTCTGCGGGGGACATGGGGGGGCTCCGCCGTGCTTTGCCTGGGGCCAGGGAGGCTGGAGCAAGCAGAGGGCAGAGCCAGACACTGCTTCCACAGCCCTGTGGGGCCAGGTATGCAGCCAGGGGCGCCCCTCGCCCCGGGGCAGCCCATGCTATCAGACAGCACATGCATGTGTGCAAATTGCATGTGTGCACGTGTGTGCATTGCATGTGTGCATGTGTGGGACTGCGCCACGGGAGAGTCTTTTGGGTGCTGAAAGCCCCACGCAGGCACCGCCAGTGCCCTCCGGGGCCCCATCCCATCGTGGGGTGTGAGGTCGACACTGCCCTCCGCGGCCGGCCTCGTCCCTCTGCAGCGAGGCGGCTGTGCTGAGCTGGCGACCTTGCAGCGCCTCGAGTCCCAGTCAGGGAAGGCCCCTGCCCTGTCCTGCACCTGGAGCGCAGGTTTGCGGGGGCACCACGGTGTGGGGCTCACACGCTCTCTGGGAGCCCCCAGACAGGGGCAGACCTCAGCCCCTGTGGTTGAGGAGCTGGTCCGGGGCAGACAGACTCCCCCATCTTGCGTTAACTCCCAGGGCCCCGGGAGCCGGAGGCCGTGCATGGCCGCTCTGGTGTGTCCTGAGTCTCCCAGGGCTGGTGCCGGGTCACGGATGCCCTATGCTACCTCACTGCTCCTGGATCCTCTCCATCCCTGGGACTCTCTGTCCCGTTGCACCTGGAGCCGCGCAGCAAGGCGCAGACACCTGCAGACAGAGCCGCTCTGGGGCTGGAGAGGAGCCAGCAGCTGCCAGCACATGGGCAGCCCCCGGTCTAGATGGGCGCTCACGAGAGATGTCTCCTGGGATGCACAACATCTCCTGCTCCACCTGCCTCTTAGCTCTTCTCAGGAGTCCTGGGAAGGGATGAGACCAGGTTGGGAGGGCAGGTGACAGGTGACCAGGAGGACGGGGCGGAGCAGACCTCTGGGCAGCTCTCAGCTCCAGCCAGAGACCTGCGCTGGACCCCGCAGAGTCTGGCCGTGCAAAGAAAGCCGGGGCCGGTGCTGCCCGAGGGGGGAGGGTCCACGTCCCTGGAAGCGCTGTCTGCAGACGTGTCCCAGACTTGCTCCGTGCCAGGCCTCAGCTCTCCCGGTGGCCGTGAGCCAAGCGTGGATGGTCCTTGTGCCCTGGAGCTTGTCTAGGGAGGGAAGCAGGTGCAGGCCGGGGGCCTGGGGCAACCCTGGGAGAAACAGAGGACCGGGCACCTGGAGGAGCCGGGCAGCTCGGGGGCAGTGAGGGAGCACCATGCCCAAGTGACCCCTCCACGGGCTTGGCCCTTGGCCTCCCCGGGGACGTGACTGCAGGGAAAGCTTCTTTGTCCCCGAGCTTTCGGCTAATCCCTGCGCCTGGCACCGGGGAACAAAGGCTGTTCTAAGGCCCCCGAGTCACCGGCGAGGGTTTCTTGCAGGGGCAGCCAAGGACACGGGGCCTGGCTGCGGATGGCCCAGGGGCTGCATGGGGTCCCGCACAACCGACGTGCAGCCTCTCGCACAGCTGTCGTGCATGGTGCTCATGCCTTGGGAGTCTGGGTCCTGGCCTGCGAGTGCTAGGCGCTGCATGTGTGCAGGTGACAGGCCAGAAGCCTCCCAGGAGCCAGCAGAGGTCTGGGCTCCAGGCATCCCCAGCACCCCCCATGCAGCCCCGCATGACCCGCAGCAATCCCAGGTCAGAGGTAGCCAGGGAGGCCCCCGCCCGTGCTCGGCTTTGCACCGAGCTCCAGGCTCCCGGGTCACGCGCTGAGGCAGGGGCACATGACGGTCTCGTGCGGTGCGGCGCATTCCTGAGGGGATTAGCTGTGCCAGGCCCCGTGTCTGGGCTCCGCTCCCCCGGCTCCCTCCAGCCGGGCTGTGCAGCGCTGGGGGGCAGGTGCCCGATGCAGCTCGGGCATCTCCGGCGCGTGGGCACCGCGCAGCCCAGTGCAGGAGCCCCGCGTCCAGTCGCTGGAAGGATGCACACGTGAAGTCTGTTCCCTCCGCTTCTGCCTCTTCCCGTGCCCTGACACCAGCACCAGGCCCCAGGGTGAACGGTGCCACCGCACGGCCTACGGCACGGGTGCCAACTGAGCCCTCTCCTGTGTCCCTTCTCCGCCCTAGCCTGCAAGGGATGCTGCAGGCATGGCCGGGCCATGGGAATCGCCCTGGGTCTGGGGGCTGCCCGGTGGCTAGTGGGGAGCCTATATCCATGCCCGCTCCCCCAACGTTGCAGCTGAGGCGGTGGTACCACGGGGGCACGGCAGGACAGCAGACGGGGGTGGAGAGGAGGAGAAATCCCTGGCTGGGCACCAAGGGCAATTGTACAAAGGGGAGTTTCAGAGCAAAAGGACCCACCCACCCTCTGGCACACCCCCGCCCGGGGCCCCCTAGCATCAGCAGCACTGCAGCCAATGGGGCAGGGCTGGCAGCAGGCCCTATATATGTGGGACATCCTGAGAGGAGCCAGCCGGGGCGCAAGGGATCTGCTGAACCAGGTGCAGCTTTTGCAGGCGCTTTGTCTCTTGCAAGTTGCATTCCCAGCGGAGAGTCGAGATGCATGAAAAAGAGAGCTTCAGGTAAGGCCCGTGCAGCACGATGGGTGTGCACGTGTGCGTGTGTGTACCTGGACAGGTGTGATCAGTTATGTGGACCTGCTCACAGGGAATTGCCGTGTCCCACGTCACACTCTCGGTAACTGGCTTGTTTAGCTGCTAGCAAGTCTTTCACCCCCCTTTCTGCCCGCCCAGGATGGAGCTGGGCAGCTTTACTGGCTCCCCCTACTCCTGAGGTGCTCATGATTTTCTCGGGGGTACCTAGAGAGGCATAAAACCCTAGCAGGGGTCGGGAAAGAAAGCCGTGTCTCATGGGAGATAACCCTCCCCAGCAGCACTGGCGAGGGGTGGCAGCGGGCAAGGGCACAAGAGCCCAGACGTGGCTGGGCCCAGAGGCAGGTGTGAAGACAAGTGCACCAGGAGCCCCCTGCCCTGGCAGCTTCTCTGTCAGGTTGGCAGGACTCCCTCCCCTGCAGCCACCGGGACCAACTTCCCCCGCTCTTCTGCACGGACCGTCGGCCACGGCAGAGCTGCTCCGAAGGGCCCCACCGGGGCGGGCAGGGGGGAGAGGGGTGCCAGGCACCCATCGACATCACCCTCTGCGTCCCTGCAGCTTGGAGGCGTGTGAGCAGACCGCCGACTGGCTCCTGTCCCGCGCCCGGCAGCGGCCCCGCATCGCTGTCATCTGCGGCTCAGGGCTGGGCCTGCTGGCCAACAGCCTGCAAAGTCCGGAGGCTTTCAGCTACTCGGAGATCCCCAACTTCCCCAGCAGCACAGGTACCCGTGCACACCCCGCCCCACGTGCCAGGACCCGTGGGGACAACGTGGCCCCTAGCCCTGGCAGTGCCAGACTGGCGGGTGGCTTGTGCCCAGCACTAATCGCCCTGTGCTTTCCAGTCCCAGAACTGGCTCCCTGCCTTGGAGCTGGGCCGCCTCTCACCTCCCTGCAAGCTCTGCTTTTCAGCCACGGTCCCAGGCTCTGCACACTCATTGCATGTGGGGCTCGGGGGGGATTTCTCTGCTCCCAGCTGCCTTCACCCCCCTGCTGCTGCAAACTGCCTTCAGAGGGATCCTCTGTCGGTCCGTGGTTGCAGCCAGGCCCTGACAGGTGCTTCTGCTGCACGTGACCACCAGACTTGGCACATACCTGAGCCGGGCACAGGGCAGGGGCTGTGTAGGGCTTGCCAGGGGCTGAGTCCCAAATTGCACCTGGCTGCCCCCATTGCTAAGTCTCCAGAGCAGGCCGCAGGGTGCAGCAGCCTCGTGGGAAGCGCGGTGGGAGAAGGCAGGGCCGGGGAGGGCTGGCATGCATGCTGCATTCACCAATGCCCAGCCCCTCCGCAGTGGCAGGCCACGCCGGGCAGCTGGTCTTCGGGGAGCTGCAGGGAAAGCCATGCGTCTGCATGAAGGGGCGTTTCCACATGTACGAGGGGCACCTGCTCTGGAAGGTAGGTCAGCCAGTGGCCGGCACAGAGCCAGGGCCTCAGCCGTGGGGTCCAGGGCCACGTCGGGGCAGGAGACGGAGCTGCGGGGGCAGCTTGGCACCGCTGCTGTCCGCAGGCTCGGGGGTCCACGCTTGATCCACGAGGGGAGGGGGATGCAGGGGACAGGAGGAGGCCGGCCCAGGACGAGATGCCCAAAGGGCCGTTTGCTCTCCTTCCTGAGGTTACCTTCCCCATCCGAGTCTTCAAGCTGCTGGGCGTGGAGATCCTGCTGGTCACCAACGCTGCGGGGGGCCTGGCGGAGAACTACAGCCCCGGGGACATCATGGTCATCCGGGACCACGTCAACCTGCCAGGCCTGGCCGGACTGAACCCACTGCTGGGGCCCAACGAGGAGCAGTAATGCCTGGGGGGTGGAGGCGGTTTGTGGGGGAGCCGTACCCGGTGGGCACAGACTCCAGGCCACGTTCTTCTCTGTGCTCAGCTTGGGGGCTGGAGCGTGTGGATGGGGCTGTGAAAACCTGGGCTGCACCCTGGTTCTGCCACTGGCTTGCTGGGTAGCCTTGGACTGATCCCTTCCCCATGGTGTGCCTCAGTTTCCCCATCTGGAAAAGGGGCATAATGACACTGGCATCACGGGGAGGTGGAACCTGCCCCGTGCACGCGTGGCCTCATGGCAATGGTGTCTGGGTGTCCCTGTTCCCTCCCCCTTGCCCTGGCCTGGCTGCCTCCCCTTGAGGCTCGTTCCCCTCCCCAGGTTTGGGCCCCGCTTCCCCGCCCTCTCCGATGCCTATGACAAGGAGCTGCGGGCACGGGCACTGGAGATCTCCGAGCATCTCGGCTACTCGGCCTTCGTCAGGGAGGGCGTGTACTGCATGGTGGGGGGCCCCAACTTCGAGTCCGTGGCTGAGGCTAGGATGCTGCGGGCCCTGGGGGTCGATGCTGTCGGTAAGAAGTCAAAGGGGGGCCCAAGATCAGGCTTCCTTCCCACCCTGAGATGCCGGCCCCTGCCCTTTTCTGCCTTGAGCTAAGCCTCGCCAGCCCTGAGCTGGTCCGGGGGGGAATCTGTCTACACTAGGGCTGCACCAGGCCCCAGGACAGGCTTAGCTCTCACATCTGTGTCGCAGGCTGGGTGGTGTCCACTCCGCGCTGACCTGGCTTCCCCCCACCCCCAGGCATGAGCACGGCCCCTGAGGTGGTCGTGGCCAAGCACTGCGGGCTGCGCGTCTTCGGCCTCTCACTGATCACCAACACAGTGGTGCGGGACTACGACAGCGAGGACAGTGCCAGCCACGAGGCCGTGCTGGAGGCCAGCCAGGCGCGGGCTGCTGCCCTGCAGACACTCGTCACAGAGCTGGTGGGCAGCATCGAGCCCTGAGGCAGCCACCGACACAGACCAGCCCTGACCCCCGGTCTGACCCCTGGTCTGACCCGTCCTGCCCTCTCTGCCTTTCTCCTGCTCCTTGGCACAGCAGATGGGGAGAGTCCGGGTGAGCTGGGATCAGCGGAGGGGACAGAGCGAGGAGCCGGGGCCTAGTTCCAGCTGTGCCACAGACTCCCTGTTTGGCCTTGACCAAGTCCCTTTGCTTCTCTGTGGCTGTCTTGGCAATACGGAATAGCAAGCAACACTTAGCCCCAGACGTCGCAGCACTGAGCTAATGTCTGGGCTCACTGGGGGCTGTGGGAGATTACTACTGATGCCTACACAGGGCAGTAGAGGAGCAGGAGTTGGGGCATGAAGTCAGACCGCTGTCGTTCTCCCGGGAAGAGGTCCGGGGTGGAGATTTATTTCTGAATCCAAGGGTCCTGAGCTAGTTGCAGTGATTTGCTGCAGGGGGAGATGGACTGAAGCCTGGCACGTGCTAGTGGATAGCAGCGCAGCTGGCTCTGGTAACAGGCCTTGCACTTGAACCAGCCTGTGCCGAAGGGAGCTGGACCCCAGGACCAGGCTGCTCTGGTATAAATGCATCCAGACAGACACCGCTTCGCTAGCCTGGAGCAGGTGGTGACTGTATCGGCAGAAGACTCTGGCCTGGCTCGCGGCGGGGTCTGGGGAGGTGACCAAGGCCTTCCTGTGCGCAGTGAGGGGGTCTGGGGAGCAGAATGAGGCTGAGTCACGAACCGCCCCGTCCATCCGGGGCCGCGGGACTGCTCCTCTCGGTAATGCGACGGCATCTGCACCCTCCAATAAACAGAACAAGTGCAACCTCGAAGCCCGCAGGGTGGTCTGTCTGCTTCGGCTCTGCCCGCCCAGCTCTGACCCCGTCCCAGGCACTGCTGCATGCATGTTGGGGGACAGGCATGGATCTCTCTGAGCACTGGCCTTGCTCTCGGGGGCACTTGCATGGGTTCGGGGGCTTGCAGCTGAAGCGATGCAGCATGCCCCTGTGCCGGCTCTGGTCTCCTTAGCGGCAGTAACCCCCGGGCCCGAGTGGGGGCATTGCCCAGCACAGGCCGCCGGCCCAGCTGCCATCCCATCTCCGGCTGCTTCCGCACCCGCCTCCCGTTGCCATGGCGGCTGGCTGTGTTCCTGGGTTGCTAGGACACACGACGCCCTGGAGAGGGACCAGCCTGACGGGGGTGTCCGGAGCTGTGGAGCGGGAGGCGGTACCCGGGGGCCTGGGGGAGCCCTCGGGAGGTGCCCCGGTGCCCCCCACTCCCAGCCCCGGCAGGTCGTGCGTGCTGTAACCTGCCCTATCCATAGGGCCCGGTCCATTCATCCGCCTCCTGCAGCCGGGTGGTGATGGCTGCCCCAGGCCTGAGCACCCTGACCCCAAAAGTGGTGAAGGAGCAGGAGAAGACAGTAAGTCCCCTCGAGGCCATGTCCAACCAGGCTCTGGAGATGCCTCGATGCTGGGGGCCCTGGGGAGCATGCACAGCCCAGGCGCAGTTGCAGTTTGGATGGAGCACGGGCCAGCGCACCGGTGCCCTCTGCTTGACAGACGGGCCGAGAGCCAGAGCCCGGCCCAGGGCTCTGCAAGGCCAGGGGCAACACAGGGTGGGCGCACGGGGGTGCTTGCAGAGAGGCTGTGGCTCTGCCTCTGAAGCAGCAATGTCCTGCTTTCCTGGGACGCTGCATTCAGGATTACAGCAAGTGGCAGCGGGTGGAAGCAAAGAAGAAGGTGTCTCTGCCCTCCATCGCCTCGCTGGACAGGAGGAAGGAAGTGAGCTCTGCCTGCTCCCAGAGAGGCAGGCAGCCAGGTCAGTCTAGCTCCTGCTCCTGCCCATCTGCACCCCTCCAGCAGCTCAGGTGCAGTTTTCCATGGAGGGAATCTGGGCACAGAGCAGCCGTGCAGCCCCCCAAAGCCAGCGCCTCTACCCCACTCCCCATCTGGGAAAGAAAAGCACAGAGGAGCTGCAGCTAGCAGGGCACAGAGCGCCCTCACATCCAGGGCTCCCACGCCTGGATCTTCAGCTCCCCACCCCAGGCATTCCCTAAACTCCCCTGGATGGCATCCGTGAGGCCTGCACCCATCAGGTAAGGCATTAAAACCAGGCAGAAATGTCAGTGCGGGGCATCTTCTGTTTCACTAGCCCCGGTCGGTGTCAGATCAGCTTTGCCGACAAAGTCAGCCTCTCTTCGGAAGCAGAGATTTGCTCCAAAGAAGATGTCGGCCAAGGACACGGAGCTTGCAAGAAGCCTGGACAATATCAAAATCTATACGGTACATGAAGGAAGTATTCAGGGCTGCACTGCACCTGCATACCGCAACCTGGGCCTGTCCTCGTGGAGGAGAAAAACTGGTTGCCCGATTCATTTGTAGTCAGGCATACGCCGTGCACGTGCAGAAGACGCAGGAGGTTGTTCTGCCTTCCTGGGCACTGGGGTGGCCTCAGTCGACCAGTGCACCGGGGCACTGGGTCCAGGTTGAAAGGGATGTAGTTGCGGGGGGAGGGTCCAGCGGAGATCCCCAAGCACGACCGGAGGTTTGGGAAGCGCAGCCTGCGGGCAGAGAAGAAGGAACTGGGCTTATTTAGTCTGGGAAAGAGGAAATGGGTGGTGTGGGCGTACGTCTCCCAGTACAGAAAGGAGCATTGCTAGGGAAGCAATGGTTTTCCCCAGCCCCTGGGAGGTGGGTGAGAAGAAACCAGCTTCACCTGCAGCGAAGGTGACTTAGGTTGGACTGCAGGGAAGGAGATAGCGCTGCAGTGGTCATATCAGAGCCTCCTTCCCTGGAGGTTAGACAACGTCCCTCGGGGAAGGGTGGGTGTATGACCTGCCCCCCTGCAGGCAGCAGGGCCAGGGGAGTCCTGCGATCCTATGCGCAGAGGTGCAGAGCGAAGGGGAACCGCTGCCCCTCCGATTCGGAAGCACGAGCTGATCTCACGTCGGCTTTTGCTCAGGCAGGTGTTGGCCCAGCAATAGAGCAAGGAGGAATCAGGCCCAAAGCGCTTTGAGGAGCAGGAAGACGAAAGCAGTGATAAAGCAGTTGGCCACTGAGGAAAGGGGGAGCAGGGGGCAGTTGTGTGGCTGGGGGGCTGGCGTGAAGAGCAAGCAAGGCCCATCTCTGTGGTAGGGCTACGGGCACCGGGAGGGGGGATGTTGCAGTGTAGGATGCTTGGCAAGCGGGCACGTGCCTTCCATCCGGCTTTCTTCCAGAGACTGACCAGGTCGCAGAGGACGTCCTTGGACAAGCTGAAGCAGCACGGCACCTTCCTGGCAGAGACCAATGAGCGCCTGGTCCAGGAGGTGCAGCAGGCCGAGGATAGCACCGTCAAGCAAGTCCGGGAGCTGCTGCAGCAGTACGAAGTCTTCGGGGTGAGGCTGGCGGGTGCTCGGCAGGGTCCGCTCAGCTCCCCCAACCCACGCCCAAGGAGGTCAAAGCTGCTGCATGACCCGTGGCGGGGCTCAGGCCTCAACCCGCACTTCTCCCGCGGTCCGGGGGCGGTCTGCGCTCAGGAGATCCTCGGCAGCTTGTATGCCGCGGCACAGTTCAGGGGGAGCTCCACCCTGCCATTAGCTGGGGCAATGCAGCCCATGGCGAGGGGGTGCCCAGAGTCCTGCAGGGAGGCCCGGACAGGCGGCAACAAGGCTCCTCTCTCTCTAGACGATGGTGACGACCCTTCAGGACTCCAGCCGGCACCAGGTGGGCGCCGCGGCAGCGGAGCTGCAGGAAGCAGAGAAAACCATGGAGAACAACCTGGCAAGTAAGGATGGACGGTTCACCGCAAGCTGGCATGAGATGCCTGCCACCCTTGCCTCCTTGTGTCGTTTGCCCCGATTGCCTCCAGGCATCACAGCTGCCTTCAAGCTTTGCACAGGGAGACAGTCTCTTTCTCTGTCCACCCCGGTGACCCCTGCAAAGGGAAGGGCCTTGCTCCAGGCAACGAACATTGCCTCGGCTCCCCTGATCGGGCAGCACCCGCGGCGAGGGGCTTGGGGCTCAGCTTGCCCTTCCCGTGTCTCTGTCAGAGCTGCAGCAGGAGCTGGCTCATGTGAACGGGAAGGTGCAGGCGCTGCAGGATGAGCTGGGCGTCCTGCGAGCATACATGGACAAGGAGTACCCTGCCAAGGCCATCCAGATAGACCAGCTGCTGCGCGACATCCAGAGCCTGAAGGAGGAGCAGCAGGTGAGGGGACCTCTGCTTCCTGGCCAAGGGCTAGGGAGCAAGGTCCTGAGTTGCTCACGTGCCTTCTGTGCCCCCGACCCGGGCGATTCCCAGGATGAAACAGATGAGCTGGAAGAGATGGCAAGAAGTGTCATGGGGGGCCTGGGCAAGAAGATGCAGGAGGAGCAGGAGCAGATCATACGGGCTGTGATCGAGGTGAGGGCATCGTGACCATCTTTCAGGTGCATGATGATCAGTGGAAGGGCCTGGGTGGGTCTGACCCACTATGGCACCCGGGGGTGCAAGCTGTGCCCAGATGCCCGTGCACTGCTGCCCCGTACCTTTGTGGCTGCTGTGGCTGTCCTGGGTTTTCTGCACCTCTTCCAGCACAGCCAGGGGCTGGGATTGCCTGCCGCTGTTTCTGTCCCTTCACCGGGGGGGGTTTCCCTGTGCGCGCAGGAGACGCTGTCTCCCTACAAGGACGGCCTGCAGCAGATGTCCACCAACAACCGGGTGCTGCAGAAAGAGGTGGAAATGCAGAAGGAGGTGAGGAGGTGGGTGGGGGTAGCAGGCTTGGCAGTGCAACCCCTCTGTTGCACTGGGACTGGGGATGAAGGGGGGAGTGTGTGGGGGGCACCAAGCAGCCCAGCAGCTGGTCTCCCACATGCCATCCTGCAGGTAATCGCGGAGCTGCAGGAAGACATTGTGGAGCTGCAGCGCAGCATCCAGAGGCTGCACGGGGACCTCAGGGACCCCCGAGAGGTGATCTTCGCCGACGTCCTGCTCCGCAGGCCCAGGTAAGTCCTCGCACCCGCATCCTCAGCCAGGCGCCGTCGCCCATCCTGACACCGGTGTCTGTGATTGCACCTGGCTCGCTCTCTGCATGGGGGCTCTGAGGGTCGCTTCCCATCCCAGCCGCTCTGGCACCGTGCGTGACTGAACTCGGCCTCCCAGCACCGTCGTCCCAGCTCTGAGCATCATCCTATGGAAACCCAGGGATGGTCCGGACACCGGCAATCGAACCGGGGCACCTGGCCCTATGGTCTTAGCACAGAAGAGGAAGCCAGGCACTAGGAAGCGCTCGCCACGGCTCTGATACCGATTTCCTGTCCGCCCAGTCCAGCCACGTCCCTTCTCCGTGCCTCCACTTCCCCAGCCTGCGACATGGAGAGGCCTCTCTTGATGTCACTGAAGAGGCAAGGGCTCGCTGAGGCTTCTCCCTGCCTCCTGTGTCACACCAGAGCCAAGTCCCATGTTCTTCATCTTGTTTTGCTGCTGGGAACGTGAAGCCACAGAGGAGCACTGAAGCCACGTTTGGGTGGGCTCCCCACACCCACCCACACACCCACGACTAGGTGGAGAAGATCATCAGCACGCTTCCTGCTGGGTAACAGCTGTCTCCAAGGCAGGCGTTGCTCCCTTCCAGCCCCTGTCCATCTGCCGGAGACCGGTTGCTTTCAGCCCCGAGTGTTGGAGAATCCCCGCACCCATCTAAAACCCCAAGGCTCGTTGATGTTGGCCAGCAGGTATGGGAAGCAAGCTGGACATCCTCGCTGGCACATCCGTGTGCAGAAAGCCCTGCCGGCCCATTCGCAGGGGCACGGGCTCTCGTCTCAGGAGCAAACCGGAAGGCTGTGCCAGGCCGTCGGCTGCAGACACAGAGAGGGAGGCAATCAACCCACCCTGCAACCCATCCATCCCTACCCGAGGGCGGCTGGGACGCTGTGGACGCCAGATGGCAGTCCTCCGCACGCCGGAGAGCCGCAGCATCCAGCGGAAATGCTGTCGCCTTAAAATAGAAGCACGATGGAAGAGCGCCAGGGGACTTGCAGCTGCCTCCAGCCGTTATGTGTTAGTGATTCGAGCCGGGAGCGGGGGGGATAAGTCAGGGCACTATTTGGCCAAAACACTGAAGGGGTTTGAACACCAGAGAGTGTAAGACTGGCAGTCCTGCGCATGAAATGAGTGTGCAGCTCTCAGCCCAGTTTACAGCCACTGTGCGTGCAGACACGCTGCGAAGGAGACGGACCTGCCTATAGCGGCTCCGCCGCGGCAGCTCAGGCCTGCAGAGCCCTCTGTTTTGGATAGAGCGCGCCTCCCAGGGAATTGGGCAGAGCCGATAAGCGGGCCCAGGTCTCCTGACTCCCAGCCCTGTCTGTCCAGGTGTGGGGGGCAGCGCGCTAACGGCATGATCCAAAGCAGAAGGAACACCTGGAACATGTCAGGAAGCTGGCGGGCGCTGAAGGCCCTTGTGATGTATTACTGGAACTTAGTTTTTTTTTTCCAAATGAAAAAAAGGATAAAAAGGGGTATTAATTAGTCCTGACAGCTGGGGGAGGGGCAGGGTTACTGTGCACAGCTGGGAAAAGGGTTAAAAATAGAAGGGGGAGCAAGTGGAAAGTTTCTGCAACCTCCCGAGGCGGGCAGAGGTGATGGCCCAGCCCCGACAGCCTTGGGAGACTTGGCCAGAGCCACCCCCGCCATCTCGTTGACGATGACCCCTGGGATGTTTCCCATTGACCCCCTCATGCTCTTCACATGACTTCCGCGGCTCGTTCTGCTTTTTTAATTAGCTCTTTGGTTTTCCAGACGCCAGCCCCGGGGAGGTGGGATTCAGCCCTGGAAGTGGCTGTGAGAGAAGGGGAGCTCTGGGCGCAGGGAAGGGGATGCCTCGCGTTGGGCAGAGCACGAACTGCTCGTGGTGCAGAAGCAGAGCTGGGGGCCAGGAGGCAGGGGGTCCCTTCCCCTTCTGCATTTGTATTCAAATTGCCAAAGCGGAGCCCCTTCACGCCTCTTCTCATGCCCCCCATTCCCTGCCTCGGCCTTGCAGGGTGGTCAGAGCCAAAGTCCGGGAGGCAGGAGAGGAAGGGCTTGTTCCTGCCTCTGCCACTGACTTGCTATATGCCATTTGGCAAGTCACCCGACTGATTTCCCACAGTGCGCGATATGCCTGGGAGCTGGAGCTGGGCTCGTGCCCTGAGCCACAGCCGTATGCCCTGGCCGTGCCCGGCTTTGCTGCTGACAGCTGTCTCCTCTCTGCTCAGGTGCCTGCCGGACGAGGAGGTCGTGCTCAGCGTCCCACTGGAGGAGGAGAAGGAAGTCGCCTTCTAGTCCCAGATGCTGGGTAAGCAGCTCACGCCTCTCCTGCTGGGCCAGGTCTGCCTACCCCATAGATGAGGGCCCGCCATCCATCCCAGCATCTCTCCTTTGTGCAGGCTCTTCGGCTCCACCAGAGATATTCAGGCATGAAAGGACTTGTCGCTGTGGCTCTTGTGCTTCCCTTGTCTTTCCGGTACCTCCCCAACAGCTGCCAACACCCTGTCCCCCCCGGGGTCTCCCACTTTCAAGGCTCCATGGAAATCTTTGCATTTCCAGGCGGGGTCCTGCCACCCACCTCAGTATTCAATCCCTGCACCTTCCTCCGAGGCCTGCCCTGCTCTTGAGGGACTCTGATGGCGTTCAGCCTGGGAGAGGGACCAGCTGATGGGAAACTCTGCAGTGTTCCCAATGCGGCTCTCAGTCTAGGTGGTGAAATAAAGACGAAGCCTCTTAATGTGGAAACTCCGTTTTGCCCCATCTGAATAACCGCGCACGCGCCAGGGCTCTGCTGGGGTCGGGGGCAGAGCCGAGGAGGGGGATTGCTGTGAATTTGAGCCGCCCTCGTGCCAGGAGTCACCCCCTTTGACCCAGCTGTAACGGGCACCGGGTCATGCAGCCGCCTCTGACCCCGCCAGCCTGGAAGCGATGCCAGCCGCATGGCCCTGGCTGTAGGAACTGGTTGCTGCCCGGGACCAGGGGTGTCAGGCCCAGCAGGGGCGGATCCAGGATTCGGCAAAGCGGGGCGCAACCTTGCCCCCGCTTCTTCCCTGGCTGCAGCTGCAAGCTTCGGGGCCTCTCCTGCCCAGCGGCGGGGGGCTGAGTTCAGCCCGCTGGTCCCGCTCCACCGAAACCAACACAGGGCTGCGGTGGGCACCTTGGTATGGGGGGCTGCCGGGCACCGGTCCAGAAACGGGGCAGGGGCTTTCTTGTGGGGCGGCGGAGGGCAGAGGCTGGTGTCCCTGGGGGTCTCAGCTGCGGGCGCGGGGCAGTGTCCCAGCTCCGCCCTGCGAGGGGGGCCGGGACTGCCCGGGGGCTCCGCCTCCCTGCCTGGGCTTTAAAGCCCGGCTCGGGGGGCGCAGGCGGAGCGGAGCTGTCGGGGCCGGCAGCTCCCGGGGCAGGTAACCCGACGCCGCTGTCCTGCATTATTGAGCCGTGGGCTCAGGTTACTGGAGCCTGGAGCTGCCCGGGGCAGCGGGGCTGGACGCGGGCAGGGCTGGGCACCCCGGGAACAGGGGCTCCCCTCCAACCCGAGCCCCCAGCCCTGCCTGCGTTGCAGAGCATGACGCTGAACACGCAGCACAGCAGCAAGAGCCTGGTGCAGCGCCGGGCCAGCACCCCGGTGCCCCTGTGCCACCAGTCCTGGAGCCCCCCGCAGCGGCCGGAGCCCCCCAGCACCCAGCCCGGACACGCCCGGGGGCCCCAGCCCGGGGACAAGGGCTTGGCGCGGCACAGCAACTGGTCCTCAGATTCGACCGGCTCCTGGGAGTCACTGTACCGCGTGGTGCTGCTGGGGGACCCTGGCGTGGGCAAGACCAGCCTGGTCAACCTCTTCGCTGGTGTCCCGGAGAGGGATGTACCCGAGCTGCTGGGAGGTGGGTCCCCGCCGAGGCGAGTGAGGGCTGGGGGTGGCCAGTGGAGGGAGGGGGGGGCACAGCACTGGCCGCCGGAGAAGTAGAGCCTTCGGGGATCGGCTCCAGTTCAGTTTGGTTGTGGGGGGAGGCTGCACCCCACCCAGCTGCAGCCTCCTGTCCCCCAGGCCCAGGTTGACCTGGCAGGGAGGAAGCTGCCAGCTGTGCTGGGGGGTCTTTCCAGCCAGGTCCCTGTCCCGGTGCAGGGCACTGACCCGCTGGCTGGCTCGTTGCAGAGGACACATACGAGTGCACCCTGTCCGTGGATGATGAGGAGACCACGCTGCTGGTGATGGACACCTGGGAGCCAGCACCATGGGTAGGGGCTGGATGGGGCCCAGAGGGGTGGGACAGCGCGTCTGGCTCCGCGGGACCTCGGCGGGGCTGGTAACACCACGGCACCAGTTGCCCCAGGCGCTCAGCTCCGGAGCTGGGGTGCGGGCGAGGTCTTGCCCTGCCTGCCGGGTGCTTCTGCAGCCACGAGCTCTGCTGATACCCAAGGCAGTGAGCAGCTCGGGCTTCTCAGCGTGGGTCCTATCACCCCGAGCCAGCTGGCTTTGGTCTGGGAGCCCAGTCCTGGCACCGGGGTAGCATGAGCGGCTGCAGGGACCTCATCCCAGCCGGGGCCATAACTCGCAGCTGGTGCATTGCAGAGGAGATAGTGTCAAACAGCCCCTGCCCCACCACCAGACTCTCCCCAGCAGTCGTGGGGCTTGCCCAGCACAGGGCATGCCATGCGCAGACAGGGCCACGCGGGTGCAAGTCCAGCCTGGCAGGGAGGGAGGCTGCATGGTACAGTCCCTGCACAATAAAATCTGGGGGAGGTGTCTCCATCCCTATCTTGCATGTCCACAGTTTGCATGGGGGACCTACCTGAGCAGGGGTGGGTGGGAGAGCAGACAACTTGCCTCAGCCTGCGATGACGCTCCCCTTCCCCTGCGCAGGCCCAGGACGAGGAGAACCGGTCCCACAACTGCTGCCTGCAGGTGGGGAATGCCTATATCATCGTCTACTCCATCACGGACCGGAGCAGCTTCGAGAGCGCCTCCGAGCTGCGGATCCAGCTGCGCCGCACCCGGCAGGCCGAGAACATCCCCATCATCCTGGTGGGCAACAAAACAGACCTGGTGCGGTGCCGAGAGGTCTCCGTGGAAGGTGAGCGAGCCGGGGGCTGGGTCCTGGGGGCTTCTGGCCTGGTTTCAGCTGTGCGAAGGCTCTGGAGGGGGCTGCCCTGCCAGTTGTCCCACCTGCAGCCGCTCTGCCCCTCTAACGTGAGTGCCCCTCTGTCCACATCCACCCCACGGGCTGTGCCGACAGTCCCCCGCTTGCCCCACTGATCTGGGACTGCCCCGTGGTCATTGCAGAGGGCCGGGCCTGCGCCGTCGTTTTCGACTGCAAGTTCATCGAGACGTCGGCCGCGCTGCAGCACAACGTGGCCGAGCTCTTTGAGGGCGTCGTGCGCCAGCTCCGTCTACGCCGCGACGGCTCGGAGGCCGGAGACCAGCGCTATGCCACTCCCGCGCGCCGGGAGAGCCTCACCAAGAGGGCCCAGCGCTTCCTCGGCCGCCTGATCACCAGGAAGGTGGCATTGAAAGCTCGCTCCAAGTCCTGCCACGACCTGGCCGTGCTCTGAGACCCGCAGCCAGGTGGCCGAGCACGCTCCGGCAGCTGTGTGCACAGGGCCTGGCAGACTCTCGTGGTGTGCCCTGCCCTGGTCTGGCTGCAGCCACAGCAGGGGACGGAGCCACCTCCCCTTGGCAGCAGCCTTGGAAGCTGTAAGGCCCTGCCAGAGGAGCCGGGGGGTCCCGCTCCCCCAGGCAGAGCAGCCCCCAGTTGCTGGCCTGCAGCCCTACAGGATGAAGTGTGGAGGGGCCGGGGTGTGACTCAGCTCCACGGAGCCCAGGCATGTACCTCTGCAAGGAGAAGGCCCCCAGGAGAGGGCAGGGGACCACCAGGAGGATGTGAAAGCACTGAGGTTAAACGTGGCACTCTGTGGCAGAGGCCGGGGGCAGCACAACGGCCCTGAATGTTGCAGCTGGCATGAAGCATGGTGCAGGTGGGCACTCAAAGGAGGCCCTGATCCAGGCTGCGATGGCACCTCGGGGGACAGGGCATCTCCAGGGACATATTTGCTTCAGTGCTGGCGTGGGGGAAGAGGAGGATGCTTTGAGGACTGTTGTGGGGTGTGGGGGACAGCGTTCCTCACTCTTCTGTGCACTGTTTCTACCACCGGGCATTCCCGCTGTCTTGCCGGGGTCCCAGGTAGCGGTAGCAACGCGCCTTGTTCCACAGGCCAACGAGGCCAACGACGATGCCCCAAGCCCCGCAGAATAAACTGAACCCAGAGTAATGCCGGTCTCCTGGTCCTCTCTGGTATCCTGCCTGCCCTGCATTGGCAGGGTGCAGGGAGCTTGGAAATAGCAGCACAAAAGCCCTGGGGGTGCGAGGAGAAGGGGATGGGCTGTAGGGCCTTGTGGCTGCCAGGCTTGTGGAGTCTCCTTGGGGTGTTCCCTGCAGCGTGTGCCAGCCTTATTGCATGATTTGCACAGTAAAAGGTGCCCAGAAAGGAGCTGGAGCTACTTCTGCCCCACGCCCTGTGCATGGGTCCATGGTCTCTTCCAGGCTGCGTGGTCGGGGACCGGGACCTGCAGGCAGCTCTGCTCTGCTCTGCGTGCCAGGGTGCGGCATGGACACTGTTGTAACACCTAGGAGCCCTGGTTATGGGCCAGGGTGCGCTGCGCTTGGGGCTGTATGAATGCAGGGCAAGAAGCCCCTGCCCCAAGGAGCCGACAGTCTGGGTGTCGGATGAGCCACACAGGTGGGTACAGGGTGATGGGGGCAGCATGGGCAGTGCTCCGGTGCCTGAGAGACGGGGCCTTTGCAAGCGCTGGGATGGGGAGGAGAGGCCAGGGCTGGGTGGACAAGTTGTGGGGGGGAACCTGGGAGATGTGATGGGGTGACTCAGGCTGGCTGTGCAAAGGAGCTAAGTCCCACCCAGACTCCAGCTCCTCCGGGGTGTGTGGGGTCTGCCCACCCAGGACCAGATGGTGAACTGGCCAGGGAGGTTGGCTCTGGCCCCTGAGTGGGGGTGCTGGGAGCCAGGGCTCCTTCCCCTCCAGGCAGAGAAGGGCAGGTCTGGCCCAGGTGCTGGGAGCTCCTGGGGGTCGTTAGCGGTGGCCGTGCTCGTCCAGGACAGCTGGGAGCAGCAGGGCTTGTGAGATCTGGAGCTCCCGGTCCTGGGGCTGCGTGGAAATGGTTGAGTTTCTAGGAGAGGCTAAAGAGAGCTCCAGCAGCAGCACTGGGGAGGGCGCCCCATGGCTGGGACTGCCGGAGGGGCGATGAGGTGAGCAGGGGAGTGCACCGTGGGGCAGGGGAAGGAGAAGCAGGTGTGTGGAGGAAGGGAAGGAGCTGCCAGCTGCTCATTGCAGCCAGGACGGAGACCTGGGCCCTGGGGGGGGTCTCTGGGGTGCTCAGCTGGGGTGCGGCCCAGAGCTGAGCTAAAGGGGCAGCTTGCAGGGATGATCAGCCCCACCTTGTACCCCCTTTCCAGGATCTGCAGCACAGGGAAGATCACGCTGCCCCAAGAGCTCCCTACGCCCTGCCGGGGAGGTCTGCTTGGTTTAGGTCTTGGTCCCAGCTCCAGCCCTTGGGGCCTTGCGTCTTGGCCTCATCTCTCAGGCCCTCTCTCCCATGTGCAGTTGCCTGGGGCCTGCCGAGATCCCCCCCACCCTCGGGTGGGCTTCCACCCTCCCTGCCCACGAGGGTGCAGAGGCTGCCCGTCCTGCCCGCCCCAGCAGCCTGCCTGGGAGCTCCCGCTGCCTCCTCCAAGCATGGCCAAAACACGGCCAGGGAGGCTCTGCACTTCGTCCGCAGGCCCGCGGTGTGTCATGCTGCCGGGTGTTTATATTGCACCCTTCACTAGAGACGTGCGGCTCTGCAGGACGCAGCGCTGGGCGCGGCAGCTGCCAGGGCCCCGGAGAGCTTCGGGCTTCCCTGCTCCTGCTGCCCAGGGAGCTCTGTGCTCTCAGCGCCATGCTTGAAACACCCCCCCACTTGCTCAGCACGGGGCCGCTGGGCTGGGGCAGGACAGTGCGGAGCAGGGAGACACGGGGACCAGCCTGCCAGGGTCCCAGGTAGCAGTAGCAACGCGCCTTGTTCCACAGGCCAGCGAGGGTTTGCATCCTCCCAGCCAGCACCTTTGGGGGCGGACGGGCCCACGGCCAGCTCCAAGACAGGCTGGAGGAGTCTGCTATGGAGAAGAGCCATGGGCCTGGTGGCTGGTGTTTAATTTAGCCTGCGCTGCTGGAGGAACGTGGAAGCCGCTTTGAGGGGCCTTGCTCAGAAGCCCTGGGCCTGTGCCAGGGCCACTTGGCTGCCTGCTCCCTCCGCGGGGCAGGTCAGGAGTTTCCACTGGCCTTTGCGTCTTCAGTGCCAGGGCTGGGGCAGGGGGCAAGGGGCAGGAATGCAGCAATCTCATGGCAGGGAAGCAACGGAGACTCCTTGTCTCCCTGCTCCATGGAAGCTGCATCTGCTGGGGAGGAGGCAGAGAGACACTGCAGCGCCCAGCTCTCCCATGCTGGCATCATTGAAGGCAAGCTGAGATGAGGACAGCAACTGCCTCGTCCATCACCCAGCAATGCACGCTCAGAGGGTTTGGCTCAGGCTCCCAGCCCCACTTCAAAGTCTCTTTGCACCAGCCAGCACCAGGATCTGCTGATGAATAGATCGTAACTGCCTGTACTCGAACTCGCTGCCCTGCAAGCCACCAGCAACTGGCTTGGGTGCTGCTGGGAGGAAGCCTGAGACACTGGAGGCCCGACTGGTAGTGTCAGGGCACTGCCAGGAGGAAGTTCGCAGCCCTGCAGTCCTAGTTGCATTTGAAACGCATGAGCCATCCTCCAAGCCCCTTACCCCCTAGGCTGCCCTGCCTGGAGCAGGCGATGCTGACCCTGGCAAGCCAGCCCCCCCCCACACCGTGCAGTGCAAGGGGCTCGCTGCAAAGTGTCAGGCCGCAGGGCTCTCTCCACTGTCGCCGTAGCTGGGCCCTGGGCCGGCCCCAGCTGTGTCCCGGGAGCATCCAGCTGTCTGCTGTGTGCAAACAGCGCTCCCTGTTTCCATGTAGCCGCGGTGCGGGGGAGGGGCTGGGATCATGGAAAATTGGCAAGAGGAGGCGGGCGGCAAGGAGAGTGGAAAGAATGAGATCAAACCCAGAAAAATGCAGCCTGGGCCGGAGGCGATG